TCCTCTCTCATATGACCCGAACAATAGCATGTTTTATCCTTACAATAGTAGAGAAAACCTACCAGCTTATCGTGTCAGCAGGTAACTTTTCTCTACTATTGTAAGGATAAAACATGGTGTTGTTCGGGCCAATCCAGGGGTTATCTATGATCCTCTCTCATATGACCCGAACAATAGCATGTTTTATCCTTACAATACGAAAAAATATTAATGGGGTACCCGGCCAGACTGGTCAACCCCATATATATTTCTTTTTAATTGATTATATATCAAGTTTATTAATATTAATGTGGATTATGTTTTTTATCATTTTTATCTCGATGAAGAAATTTTTTCTTGATAAATTGTTCAATGCAACACTTCAACAAATATGATTAGACTCTGACATTTCAATCAAGATAAATTTATTTTTATTTGGCATATCGTAGGTGAAAAAATGTGAGTGTGATTGACTTGTCACTTCTTGCATTAAGATCGAATATTTTCATATCTTTTTACTTTCATAGTACGTAAAATAACTATCTAAAAGGTTTCTAATTAAAATAAATAAGTAATATAACATTTATATTATTTGAATAACTATAATTTACGATTTTTATCTATAGGTGCGAGTAAAGGTTTAATATCTTGTCGTTCATTTGGTTTAATTGGCTCTTTCAGATTTATTCGAATCTTTATACTAAAACAAAATTTGGAAAGTAGAAAGTCCATAGATAACAAAACACTTGTTGTTTTACCTGTTAAAACTAGTATTTAATTCAATTATAGAATTTGTATTGACATGTGTTTCTTTTCAATCTTTTTCAACTGTACTTCAAGAATATTTTGAACTTTCCAATGAGACGTCTTATTGAACAACAACATGATAGTCATTGTAAATTATATTTTTGTTCGACTAACAACATTTCTAATCCATGTCGTGAATACCGGGTCAAAACCGCTGTTTCACTGGGCCAATTACCTGTTCCCAAAACCACAGTAGAGTGTGGGTATGGATCCTCTGCGTCAACTCACACACACACACATTCACACCCACAAATAATAGCTTTAATGTATATCTCCACTATATTGAGATCAATGAGCTGATATTGTTAGCACTGATAATGAAGTATGCAAAGCTCATATTCATAAAGAAAATGTTATCGAAAATTGTTTAGAAGTAGCACAACTAATTTCGACAAAAAAAAAGAATATCTCTATTTCCATAGTCAAAAATAAACGACATAAAATTGTCAGACTACTTCTTCGTACTACTGTCATTTGCTTTTATACTAATAGGAAAGATATACATCTTGACACTCAGTCTATTCTATAAGTTTTAGCTATTGAGAAAATTGCAGTATTGTTTTTATAACTCATGAAAGGTTACAGCTTTTTGTTGAAATGACTTTACTACTTGTAAACAATTTTTGACAATATTGCCTTTATGAATATGAGTTATGCATACTCCTTTATCAGTAGTAAAAA